AATGTAATTTATTTCGACCTCTTCATGGCGAATTTTGATCACTTTTCCACGGGTTTAGACGAATAAAAATGCTATAAGATAAGAATATAATTATATTCAGCGATCCAAAAAAATACATGTATAATTTTCGTTACATTACACTTCTTAAGCCAAAATCGGCCCATTTTATCCATCGTCCTTTAGTCTCGATTCTTATTATAATTTTTTTTTAATTATTTAATAATTTTTGAAAATTCAACACCAATATATCTTTAATAATACTATTAAAATATATTTATTATTTATAATAAAATAATTGTACATTATAAAAAATGTAAATCTGTTTTAATTTTTTTCTTCTTTTTTTCTTCATCCTCATTATTTTCTTTGCGCTTTTTATTCTCTGCTTCATTTTTCTCCGCAGCTTTTTTTTTTAATTATTTAACAATTTTATGAGCTTTTGCTCATAAAATCGCCAAAATTAAGCTAACATGAACGAATCATTTAATATCTGCCAATATATCACGTATCAAGTCCTAAGATGGGAAGTTTTATATGTGTGTGTGTGTGTCGTCGGAAAATTCTTTTTAAATTTACAAGAACATAATAATTATAACGTATTTAATTTCTGTAGATAATAAAAAGAATATGCATAATGTTTAATGCAATGAATGAAAATGATATGTGCATATTGCTGAAACATTTTACATTGGCTCATATGTATAACTATAAGTTTTTTAATTTATGTAGAAAAAAATGTTTTATTTAACAATTGAAATTATTGACGTCAAAGAATTTACTAAGCTTATAAGTGCATTGAAATTATAATTTCTTATTATTTATGTCGCCTGTCTGATAATATGCAACAATTATCACTCTTGATATTTAGATCAGAAAATAAATTTGAAAATAATTGTTCCAATGCACAGCGTACAACAGTACAAGTGCACTGTCTATCGCAGTTGCATTCGTTTTGTTAAATGTGTATCAACGGGATCTAAATAACTTATACCAGTACTTTATATTAGTCTGCAGTTCAAAAAATATAAATAAAATAAACATTAAGATGTTCACAGCGTTCCATGTTTTAGATAAAGTATATTTATTACATAATGTAGTTACAGATATTTCGTATGTTACTACTTTTAAATAATTCTATTGGATCTTAAGTTATTAATTTACCGTAAAGTGTCAATTGTGTTAATACGTTAGTAAGCAAACTGCCCGCAGAATGACAGCAGATTTGATGAAATAACGCAACAGATTCGATAATATCTATGTCCATAATGTTAAACTACTTATGTCGGAGAACTCCTGTTGGCGAGAAAAATGGCAGATTCTGCAGCTTCAATTTCTGCAATCAATTATTTACCATTATATTCTGTTAGCAGATTTCATTATATTTCTATTGATATCCTATTGAGAGATAATTTATGGTAGGCAGTTTCAAAATCTGTTCTCGACAAATCTTGGATTTCTATGTAAGAGTGTCTTGTATCGAGACAAAAAACTTACAAAAGAAGCTATCACTATCTGTTTTTTCTAACAAATACAAATAATGAAGATCAATTACAAGTATCTGTGTATAAAAGCGCACTATTTCTTTTTCGCGGCGAGTAAGTAGAATCATTAAATATATACGACGACATATATATATTATATCCTTTGTCTTACACGCAGATTATAAAATTTTAAATCGATATGTACCTGACGTCTGTCTGTATGTCTGTCTGTCTGACCGCGAACTACTCATTCGTTAGTCACGTTAATGGACCGAAGCGTGAAGCGTGGGCGAAAAATCTAGTTTCAAGTAGAATTTAAAACAAAAAAATTACTTTCACATTTAATATAAAAATCGGTACCGCGAATATATAAATATAATAATTACGAAATATATGTTACTACAGTGTAATATATTTTAATAGATTATAATATACTATTTAATTACTATTATCCTATTTAATAATAAAACATGTTATTTCAGGTACTGGTGTTTCTTATCCATATATTCCAGTTTATGGAAAGCAAATTGGTGTTTCGCCATTAGTTATAGGTACCATTGGCACAGTTTTTTCAATACTACACCTGATAACGAAAATAGTATGTGGCTTTATCATAGACTATTCGCAATGGAGAAAATTCATCTTTATAATATTGATCATGCTGCAAAGTGGCTCAGAGGTCTCGATATTTTTTTTACCGTCATTGCCGGGCCCAATGCTGCTGGATCAGCATTTTCAAAATATTTCTTATGTATCTCTATCGAATTGCGATATAAAAAACGTAAGTTTCCATTTTCTTGCATTTATGAATAATCTTGATAAAGCGTTAATGTGAACCGTCTATAATATCATTTTATAAAATATTAAATTATATAAATGTATGTATTAATTCATATAATTTTATTGCATATATAATATATATTTTAAATAAAATTAAAACTTTCAGAAACATGCTAAACGTATAATTTAAATAAAAAATTTTGCTGAATAGTCCAAAAGTATAATACAGAACATTGTCAATAAAATCTAATTGTTAGTCCTTGTCAAAGGAGAATGTGTTTAATTTGATTTTAAATTTGATTTTTATTCAAGCATGCATTAGCGATTGCATCGTGTAATGGTACGAAAGACACTACGTGCCGCTGGATATGTAACGATATGAATTTTTCCATGGAACTGTCTTTTTATCCAGACCAACAAAGAGCAATTATCTCACCAGATACTGCATGCTTATTAAATATCAATGAGACGTCGTTGAGCCAAAAAAATGTAACAAATAATTATTGCAACGTTACTTGTAATAATTTCGAAGATCAGTGTGTATATACATCTAACACCTTTTGGATTTTTGTCCTCTTGTGGTCTCTTGGCGAGACTAGTTTTAGTACTTGCTTGAGCATAAGCGATGCAGTTTGTTTTCGTATGCTAGGTGTGTAACTTTATAAACAAAAATTTTTGAGTTAATTGCCGAAATATAAAGTTTTAGCCATATAAAATAAATTATTATATAATAAATAGTTTTATAGTTTCTTATATAATAATATATTAATTAAATTTATACAATAATATTATGCAAAGAGAGAATTATTACTTCTAAAATAAAGTTTGCCTTTCCAGGACAAGGTAAACAGTCAAAATTTGGCAAACAGCGACTATGGGCCACAATAGGTTTCGGTGTTGCAGCATGTTTATCCGGATATGTGATGGACTTATGGTCGCACGACGGAATTTATCAAAATTACACCCCAATGCTTATTCTCGTCCTTGTAGTTCTTAGTGTCGATTTGATCTGCTGTATAAAATTAGAGGTGAGAGATTGTGTTTTATGCATTACAAATTCAAAAATAAACTAAACCAATAAATGCATATAATTTTGTTTTTATGTCCTCATGTTACCATAAATTTTTGTTACAGATGCCACTTGAAAAAGGATCGACAACCATATTGAAGGATGTGTTTGTACTTTTAAAATCTAAATCTATTGTTATATTTTTGTGTTTTGTTGCATTTGCCGGTATCCTTCATACCGTCAAGCGTAACTATTTGTTTTGGTAAACTTTTATCTTTATCGGATCGGCAATATATGTGTATTAGTTTATCTGTCATTTTATAAAAGGAATTAAAATAAAATTAGTTATCAATGTAACTTGACTTATAGGTATTTAGAAGATCTCGCTATTGCGACTGGTTACATGAACAGAATTAAATTGATAGAAGGATTAATTTTAATAGCGCAGACATTCGGCGAAATAGCATTTCTCTTTTTTTCTGGTATATTAGCAACTTTTTATAACAAAACTAAAATCATTTTTTTTTTTAAAGATATTATATTGCATTATTTTGTTTAGGAAAAATAATAAAGAAGCTTGGATACGGTTACACCATTGTATTCTGTTTTGTGTGCTACGCGCTACGGTTGGGATTAATATCTCTCGCTCCAATGCCATGGTGGATAATTCCGATAGAATTAATCATGCACGGGTCATCGTATCCACTTTGTCTAGCAACAATATCGGCCTATGCGAACGTAGTAACACCTCCCGGTACATCAGCTACTATTCAAGGACTTGTTCAAGGGATGCATGATAGTTTCGGTAATATCACTTACCCAGGTGCACACTTATCGATGAGTATTTTGTCACAAAAATTACATACAAATAAATATACATATATATTAA